TTATCATTAAAATAATCATTTGGAGGCATTGTATACATAACCTGCCTGCAGACATAGCAGTCTATGTTTACATGGCAGACTGCGTTATTTTGGCTTCAGATCACCACAGCCTGCCTGAAATGTCTTAGTGAAAGGACATTTTTCATCATCATGGGGATCAAAGCTATGGAAAGTAAGTAGACTTTGTAGACTTTCCTTGAATGTTGCATTAAAACACAAATTATTAGAAATAAAATACTTGTTTTATTGCTTTTATCTGCATGAGAAAATACAGAAACAACCAAGATATTTAAAAAAAGTTCAGAAAGTATAAAAAAATGTATTGTTAAGCTAATCCTGCAGTGCTCATTGGCATGTGGGTAGGTCTCTATTCCTAATATATTTGATTTGCTACTCATTTTAATATGTATAAAAACCATCAAACCTAAAATGCAGCCATAGTGAAGGAAATAGGATATGGTAACCAAGATCTGGGCAGTGCTTTGTTTATAACCAGTGGAGGAGTCTCTAATGTACAACAAACACACAGCACTTCAGCGAGTTCTCATAGGAGAAGGCTTTGAAGTTCAGGGAGTGGCCAATGGCTCCTTTGATCTCCTTGGTCTTTTGCACTTCAGGGAGCTTTGGAGGAGGGTGATTTTTCTTATCACTAGGACCTATTGTTAAGCAAAACAAAAGCAACTTCCTAGGTTTATTGAGATAGGTGGAGCAGGTAGGGGTTTTCCCAGGCCAGATGTCTGAACTGCTACTTAGAGCCAGGGTCCCATCCCCCTACCCCAGGAAATTCTGCTGAGGTGTATCTCTTTGCCTGTCCTCTATTCCATTTTGAACAACTCTTAAGTTGGTTAATTGCTATGAAATTCATGTTAGTATAAAGATGTTTCATTCTTAGTCTTTTAAAAAAAATAATACATGCTCATTCAGAGAAACATTAAAAACTCTTAAGGAATAAAAGTAGTTTCCACATAATGGCCCTCAAAGATGAACTACATTATAGCTTAAGACACTTCCTGTCTTTTCATTAACTAAATACATACTATATTTTTATGTGGAAGAGATCAGCTTATGCTGCCATGCAGTTAGTATACTTTAAAAAATGTTTATTTTTAGGAAGCAGAACCCAAAACAGGCTTTATTCACAGCAGATAATATTGTGTACATAAACCAGGTAGTGATGCATGCCTTTAATCCCAGTACTCCAGAGGCAGAGGCAGATGGATGTCTGTGAGTTCAAGGCCAGTCTGGTCTACATAGCAAGCTTCAGGTCCACCAGGACTACATAGTAAGACTCTATCTCAGAAAAAAAAAAAAAAAGTGTATATAAAAAACATTCCAAAAACTCAAATTCTTTGCATACTTTTCATTAAGTATATGCTGGGCATCAATTAGTAATATAAATTAAAATTATATGAACACTTCCTGATTATTTGTAAACATTTATGAATCCTATTATAGTCACTCTCTTATTAGATAGAGGTTTTTTTTTAAGGATTAATCAGTCAATGTATCAAAATCTATTTTCCCCATTAAAGAATTGAAAAATGTCTTTAACACAGACACACAGAGGACAGAATTGAGGACTTCACACTGAATTCACTAGTCCTAGAATCCCCTGGCCCACTACTATCACAACGTGTATCATCTTATTTCATTATGCACTGGCATCTAGGAGTACTAAGAGCTGTGGGGAGGTCAAAGAGGATCAGGCTATCTCACTCACTCGTTTTCATTTAATGAACATTTGTTGCTTCCCTGTTAGGCACTATAGGTGCAAGGAGAAAAGAGAAGACTTAGCTCTTGCTCTCACAGAGCCCACAGTCTGGAGTAAGAAAAGGAAGAACGATTAAAGCAGGGACTTTAATTATTATCTGGGGGCATGACTCAGTGGTAGTGTGCTAGCCTGGAATGCATGAGAACCTGAGTTCCATCCCTAGTCCACAGATACTTTAATAACATCGAGAAAGGGCGACAACAGTGAAACTAGTACTAGGAAGGCTACAGAGCAGGGGCCAGTAAGGCTTCCCACTGAAAGCATCATTTCATCAGAGACCAAGGGGAAGCAAGAGTTAAACAAGAGAAATGGGAATCTGTTGTAATTCAAGTGAACACTAGAGGTCACCTTGGTGAACCTCAGAATGCCCAGATGACAGGAGAACAGCTGAGAGCTGGGTAAGTAGAAGCCAAATGACTAAGGGTCTTGTAGCTATCACAAAGGTTTCAAATTCATCCCAAGGGACAACAGGAGATTGGCTCTTTGAAAAGAGTAATCTTGCTGCAGTCTTGGAAATGGATGGGGGTGGGGGGTGGCAGTGCAGGCGGGAGATAAGAGATGAGGGTTCATGAAAACTTAGGGTAGGAAGACTAGCTCTTTAGTGACACACCAGCTAAGGAAGACCTACAGGATGGCTGGAGTTGAAGGTTGGCAACCATATTCAGTCCATTTGCTCTTTCATTACATTCATCTTCCAGCCTTATTCAACTAACACGCATGAGCACTTAGTAATGCTTGTTGCTTTGTTTAGTTTACTCTTCTGTGTTTTGGGGGAAGGAATCCATTACCTGTATTTGTGGAGGATGTATTTGTCTTAAGAATCTTCCTCTTTTAGTAATGCAGCCCCCCCCCACTTCCCTGCCTGTACTCAGTGAGCTAAGAGCTGAAGTCATGAATTTCTTTAGAAGAGCTTTCTGAATTTGTACAGCACAGAACGCATGACTGTGTGAAGAGAGACATTATCTTGTTTCTACCAACGTTGGAAACTGAATATTTCACTGACTGAACCGTTAGTATAAATATATGTTGGACACCAAAATATGAAAAATACAGACAAGTGAAAAATAGGGGGAAACCCTCCTGTAGTGCCATCGTGAATGACAGGTATTAATATTTTGAAGCATTCTATTTTTATTTTGTTGTTGTTGCTGCTACTGTTGTTTTGCAGTATCGGGAATGAAACCCAAGGCTTCAGGCGTGCTAGAGAAGTGTTCTGCCACTAAGCTATTCTCCCAACCCTCTATTTTAGTCTTCTAGTATTCAGAGGATTGCCTGTAAGTCTCTGTGCCACGCACACATTTGTTTTCTGGTTTTTTGAACTTAATATCATAATAGAAAAAGTTCATTTCATTTCAAATATTACAAAAATGTTAGTAATTGTAAATCATGTCAATGTATTATTGTATTCCAACCTAACACAACATAGAACCGTGTATAAGTTGTTACTAATGTTTACATTATAAATAATGCTATCATGAACAGTTTGGGCATAAAATTTTGAGAGTGCTATTACGATAGTTTCTAGAAGCAAATCTAAAGATTTTTTAAAAGCTCTGTGGTGGATGGAATAACAGATGTCTCCCATAGGCTCAAGTATTTGGAAACTTAGACCCCAGTTGATGGTGCTATTTGGGGAGGTTGTAGAATCTTTAGCAGGTGTAGTCTTGCTGGAGGAAGTATGTTACTGAGGGCGGATTTGTGGAGTTCATAGCCTCACCCCACTTCCAGTTCACTCTTCTTCATTTTTGTGGTTGAAAATGTGATCCCAGCTTCCTGCTCCTGCTGCCTCTTTGCCATGATGGACTCTCCCCCTGGAACCTAAACTCAAGAAAACTCTTCCTTCTATAAGTTGCCTTGATCATGGTATTTTATCACAGTAATAGACAGTAAATAATACAGGTTCCTAATACATATTGCTAATTTGATTTACAAAAATGGATGTACCAGTCTGTTGTAGTAACATGTACCTGTCATCCCAGCATTTGGAAGGTTGAAACAGAAAGATGGGATGTTTGAGGCCAGCTTGAATTACATAGTGAAATCTTGTTTCAAACAACAAGAGCTGGGGATGTACCTCAGTTGTAGAACACTTGCCTAACATGTCCAAGGTTGGATGCCAATTCCAAGGAGAGAGAGAGAGAGAGAGAGAGAGAGAGAGAGAGAGAGAGAAGCAAATTTACAGTTCTTTTCCTTTTATGAAAACATTTTTATTTTTGGTCCATCCTAATCCCTGCTGGTTAGTTGGTGATCTGCCAGGCTTCACTTGTGGACTAGAGCACTGTGGAAGCCCTGCCAAAGTTGAGCACGGCCTTTGTAGGCTCATGCCATTGGCACTTCTGAACACACTGAGGAAAAAATGTTTTTTTTTATTTTATGTGTATGAGTGTTTTGCCTGCATGCATGGAAGTGCACCCATGTGTGCAATACCTGTGGAGGCCAGAAGAGGGTGTTGGATCACCTGGAACTGGAGTTAGCCACCATGTGGATTCTGGACACTGAACCTGGGTCCTCCACAAGAGCAGCCAGTACTCTTAACCACTGAACCATCTCTCCAGCCCACAAAATTACATTTCTACTAACAACATAGGAATATCTATTTTAATTAGGCAACATTAAAAAGTTTGGCTCATTTAATACATAAAGAAAAATTTCAAAATAATGCAGAGTACTAATGTTTTTATATACCCACAGTAACTATTACTTAGGAAGAGGGCAGGCCTTCCCTAATAGATGAGTTGGCTGCATCTTCCATTACTTAGTAACGCAGGAATTTCAGGGTCTTGAAATTACTGGACATTATTTTTTAGTTATGTATCTATTTCTACTTATTTTGCTTGGCCTTAATATTAGGCTACAGTATTTTATAAGTGAGGTTAGAAGTTTAAAGGAATACAAACCATAACACTATTAACATTAGTTTCTGATCTGTGAATGTTTTCGTATTTGGCTTTGAAGTTCATTTAGTAGAAAATTATTTTAGATAGAAAAATTAGAAACAATATAAATCAATAAGTGACAAAGATTTCACTAGAGAAAACACAAGAGGGCAGTATTATACAGCAATAAAATATGTTTGCAGAAGATGAAAACTAAGCAACATTTTTTAATCATCGCAGATTTTCAATAGAAGATGTTTATGCTCTTGTTTATATGTGTTATCTCTTTATTTTATTCAGTGTTATAAAAGCCTAATTTTGCAAGGAAATTTAGTGTCAACATCTATATAATGAATTCTGCATGCATTTGAGTTGTGCTGCTATTTTGTTAGATCCTGCAAAGTACATCTATTTTTCATTGACTTTTTGGCTTGAATTTGTAGAAAAGCAAGGGACTAATATAGAAAGGTCAGCAAAACGTTTTTCTGTAGTATTTGATATATACATACACAAACACCTCAAAATGGAGCTGATTTTAAAAAATATGTTGGTTTTATTTTTGTTTTGTGATAGATCTCACTATTAACCCAGACTGACCTCTTGCCTCAGTCTTCTGAATTCAGAGGTTACAGGCCTGTTCTACTATGTCCAGTACAGCTATTTGTTTTTAATTAATAAATCACTGAAGGAAGAAAATAGTCTAATGGTTTGGTCTGGAAAAAAAGTGTGTTCTTTGAGTCACTTCTTGACAATTTTCTGACACTTAAATAAAATTGTAATTTCATTTAGTTCACTTGTTCAGGAAAATAAAGGGATGAGAAAATGCCGAGCTTAAAGCAACCTACACATTCTTGTACACAGCTCCTTCCAGATGTTTCCATCCACAGAACAGATGCAGTGCTGGCTTCTTACACTCCCCACACTCCAACTCAATCAGATTTGAAGTTTCGGTGCCAGATAGCGTGGGAGAGGGAGAAGAAAGAAGCAGGTGTTTTCTGAGCATCTTGAGAGAAGAAAGCTGGAAGAATTCACTGATCATGTCCTGGTACCTGGTAAAGCAATGTCGTGTGGTAGCTAATTGTGGAGTTTGAATCCTCAGTTTCTACCATATTCCAGCTGTGGAACTTCGAGCACATTTCTTGACCCCTCTTGTACCTTATTTTTGTGATCTATATAATGCATTTATAATGGTACTCGTCATGAAAAGGTTTGTTGTGAGACAAATAAATATATAAATCCTTGTAGCAGTGTCTTAGTACAAGGTAAGCTTTGTATAAGTATTTACTCTCCTACAAGACAGCCTAAGAAAACCTCTAAAGGAAATTAAAATCCAGATGCCAGAATGTGGAATAAAGGTAAGAATCCTGTTGGACATGTAGAAGATAATTTGCAGGACCTATAGGAAGATAAATTCAAATTATAGCCATTTTTCAAGCTGTTCTTAGCCAGGGGCTTTCTCAAGTTCTTAGGGAGAAAAAAATGGTAAATTAGCAACAGGAACATTAAAAAAAAATGAGACAGGGTCTCATTTATCCTGGGCTAACCTTGCACTCCAGTTGTAGCTGAGGATAACCTTGAGCTTTTGATCCTCCTGCCTCCACCCTGAGTGCTGGGATTACAAGTGTGTGTCACTAGGCTGGGTTTAGGCAGTGCTGGGGATTGAGCCCAGGGCTTCACACATGCTAAGAGCTCTACCACCTGTGCTACATCCCCAGCCTGTAGCATCTGTTCTAGTTTCCTTCTCTGTTGCTGTGATAAACCACTCTAACCATAAACAACTTGGGGAGGAAAGGGTTATTTCAGCTTATTCTTCCAAGTGACAGTCCATCACTCAGGTAAGTCAGGGCTGGAACTCAAGGCAGGAACCTGGAGTCAGGAACTGAAGCACAGACCATAGAAATATGCTGCTTACTGGCTTGCTTCCCATGGCTTGCTCAGCTACCTTTCTTAAACAGCCCAGGCCCACCTGCCCAGGATGGCATTGCCCACCTGGGCCCTCCTACATCAACCAGAATTAAGAAAATTCCTCACAGACATGCCCACAGACCAGTCTGATGTAGGACATTCCTCAACTGAGGTTCCATTTCCCCCAGGTGACTCTAGTTTATGCCAAGTTGACAGAAAACTAGCACAGTATCTTAGTGCGGCCAGCATCTGGCTTATGTAACCTATGTAGTTAACCATACCTGCTTCTTCCTCCATTATGAGAAATCCTTAGCCATTCTAAAGTATTTCTATTTAATCTTTATAAAGTCTTCCATAAAGAGCCCTCAAAGTCTCCAACTACTGTTGACAGGATCTTAACTAGTATTGTTTGAATTGGATATGGGTTTCTCAGGTGGCAGGTGAACTATGCAGGACTTTCACAGAGCAAGTTGCTTTAACAAGCTTATTTCTGCCATATACAATATGATGTGCAGGGGAAACCAGTACTATCAGGTCACTTTTGATTCACAAAATAGTCTCTCTTTGGGGAAGAAAAACCCTGAAATTCAAAAAAAAAAAAAAAAAAAAAACCAAATTCAGTTTCTAGCACTACTGCTTTCTGATAACAACCAAAGTGTGTGCTGGATTCTGTTTGTACTCTGGGCGAGTGTCTCATTCGTGCTGTTGTAGTTGCTTGAGTGATTGGGAACGTAAACATGTTGAGAAAACTAGGGGCTGAAGAGGTGGCTTAGCAGTTAAGAGGACCTGGGTGTGAGTCCCAGCACCCACGTAGCGGCTAACAACCATCGTCAACTCCAGGGGATTTAACGCCCTTTTCTGACCTCCTTGGGCATTGTCTGCACAGGCGTACTTACATGCAGAGAAAACACTCATACACATTAAATAAAAATTCATTAAAAAGAAAACGATACTCCACTACGAGTCAGCGGTGGGGCACTTGCCTTCCATGCACAAGGCCCTGAATTCTGTCTCCAGCACTGAAAAAGGAAAGGAAAGGAGGAAAACTGTTAGCTTTGTATTGTTCACTTATATTTTAGTTTTGATCACGTACATGCTTGTCCACATCTTTCTATACAGATCATTTTCAGTGTCAATAAAAAGCTATGTGTGATGTTTGCACATACCCAAGTTCTCTTGGGCATCAAAAGCGGACAAATGTGTTGGAAAGATTTTGGTCGGCAAGACCACCTAGTTACCTTTATGATAATGCAATTTTGTCTTGATGAATTGCCTGAAGTCTCAAACTTGATATTTTTAGATTCTGGCTTTAATTTCTAGGTTAGAATATGAGTGGATCAGACCAACCAAACAAGATTGTGTATGTGTCTGTGTGTGAACAAATGACAAACACGAAGTTCATCCTCACTGTACTTCAGGGAGAGAAACATTCATCCAATAAATACTTGAACAGCTATTAATTGAATTTTTGGTAAAAACTGCTCTGGGAGCTACAGAACATACGTTATCATGGAGATTATGGGAAAAGACATTTTTATGGGTTGGGAGAGTCGGACACGGTCTCACTATGTAGCCCAGGCTGGCCTGGAATTCACCATACTCCTATCTCAGCCTCCTGAGTAGTGGGATTATAGACATGTACCACCAAACATGGCTAGAACATTTTTTAGTTTAAATTTTTGACTTTTTATTTCATAAATGTGTTACCCAATATACTTTTATTCAGCTGTATAGAAAAATGAATTCATGTCATTTCAGGAAAATGAATGGAACTGGAAATCATTGTAAGCAAAAGAAACCAGATGCCTGTTTAAAACAAATACCTGTTTTTTTTCCTCACATGCAGAAATTGTATTTCCGTGAGAGAGAGAGGGAGGGAGGGAGGGAGAGAGAGAGAGAGAGAGAGAGAGAATGAGAAAGGGGACCATGAGAGGGAAAAGGGCTACAGGAGGGCAGGGGAAGAGAAGATCATGAAATGCATGTGTCCTAAAAGCAGAAGGGGAGGTATTTGGGAGGGAAGAAGGGGACCTACAAGGGAATGGGTGTCGGGAAGGGGGGAGGCAGTGAAGAAGAGGGGTGAGGTAAAGTATGTATGAAACATGTATATGAAATGCATAATGAAGACCATTGCTTTGTATGCTAACTTAATAATGGTCTAAAAGATGGTTCAGACATTAAGAACACTTACTGGTCTTCCAAAGGCCCAGAGCTCAGTTCCCAGCACCCACATCAAGTTGCTCTCAATCACCTGTAATTCCAGTTCCAGATGATCTGACTCCCTTTTCTGGCCTCATGTGTACATACACATAAATTAAAAATTTTAAAATCTTTCTTTGGAGCTGTCTCAGCAGTTAAGAGTGCTTGCTGTTTTTGCAAAAGGGACTGAGGTTTAGTTCCCAGCACCCACATGCTATCTCACGGCCATCTGTAATTCCAATTACAGGGGATCTGATACTCTCTCTGGCCTCAGAGGGCACCAGCATACCCATAGCACATCACTTACATGTAGGCAAAACACTCACACACATAAAATATAAATGAATATTTGTTAGATGAGTAATACACTGTTATCAAAGTGTAACAGGGCTGTATCTGTCTCCACAGTGGAGGTGTCCGTTCCATAGTTTTACAGATTATAGTCCACTGACCAGTGTTCTCCAGCTTCAAATTACATCTTTAACTGCCACTTCTTTTCACACTTTTGTATACATCTCTTGTACTGATTACTGACACCTTTCTTTAAACATACCAATGGTACATAGCAAGTTATGTAAGCGAAGAATTCTTTCAGCCTAGAAGCATTCTGTTACTATGTAGAAATATTAGCCAACATCTCTGATTTTTTGTAGGTACCTTAGTGTAAGGCAAAACGAAACAGACCATCAGGTAGTTGATGTGTACTCTCATCATATTCCTGTGCCTTTAGAAGGACGGTGCAGCAGAGTCACCCAATAGCAGAATAAAAATGTATGCCAGCAGTATTTGCAATAGCTGAAAAGTGAAAACAACCCAAAAGTCCATTAACACATGAATGGATAAACAAAACAGCATCCACAATACAATGGAATACTAGTCTGTCTTTAAATAGAAGGAAGTTGAAATAAAGTCACACACAGTACCTAGGATAGCCAAATTCATAGAGACAGAAATTATAAATGTGGTTACCAGAGGCTAAGGAGAAAAGTGAACGAGAAGTTTTCTTCTATTGTACAGTTTCTGTTTGAGATGATGAAGTCAATGTGGAAATGGGTAACCATGAGACCACAACACTGAGAACAAGCCTGATGCCACCAAACACACACTTCATGATGGTGCATCAGCCGTGTTCTCTAGAGGAACAGAACTGACAGAATGAATAATATAGAAAAAGAATTTATTAATCTGCTTATTTCCACCTAACAACAGCTAACTCACACCTGAGAAGCTGGGGACCCACTAATTGCTCAATTCTTTAAAAATATTTTTATTTTATGTGTATGAGTGTATTGCCTGCATGTATGTAAGTGCACCAGTGTCATGCAATGCCAGTGGAGGTCAGAAGAGGACATCAGAATCCCCTGGAATGGTTGTTAGCCACTATGTGGGTGCTGGGAACCAAACCTGGGTCCTCTGCAAGAGCAGCTAGTGCTCTTAACTGCTGAGCCATCTCTCCAGCCCTGAACTGCTCAATTCTTATGACTGGGTGCTTTAGCCGTCCCAGTCTGGCTCCCAAAACCTAAAGGTCTCCTGGAGAGATGCTAATCCTTAGTCAACGATGGAAGCCTGGAAATGTTAGTTCTGATGTCAGCAAAGGAATCGGCAGCAGCAAGAGGAAAAATTAACGGCAAGAGGGAAGGCCAAACAAACAAAAGGGAATCTTCTTCTGCCATGCTCCCTTTTGTCTGGTCTACTACCAAAAGGTGCTGCCTACATTTGGGGTGCGTTTTCCTTAATCAAGTAAAGCAATTAAGGAAATTCCTCAGTTAAGCCTCCCTACTTGGGTGACTGATTTGCGGCAAGTTGACATTAAAACCAATTATCATAGATGGTAAAAATAATACATTTTTTTGACATAGGTTTGCCCTACTACAAACACACATGCCTATACACAAGACATTGGAGAAGAATACATGTTGGATATTATCACTGCGAATGCCTGGTATCTTGTGGATTATAAATACAGGAGTATTTTTTCTTTTATACACCTAAAACATTAAAATGTTTTCTTAATTTTCCCTTTTCACTTAAAATCTTCCCCCCTTTCAACTACTTTAGATTTGTCTCATTCTACAATTCACAGTATTTTCTGCACACGAACCCTGTATCATGATTACCACTGGGGTCATTGTTGTTAACTCTTGGACTGCTTCCCTCCATCTGATGTCTTGTTTTTACTGGAGGCCTGATGCACCCACAGTTAATCTGTGAGGCAGGATTCTGGGATAGTGTTTTTGACAGTCTAATAACTGTGTGGTTCTAATGAGATTTTTTTTTAATATTTTATTTTATTTTATTTTTTTGTCTTTTTGAGACAGGGTCTCCCTGTAGCCCCAGCTGTCCTGGAACTCACTATGTAGACCAGGCTGGCCTCGAACTCACAAAGATCTGCCTGCCTCTGCCTCCCAAGTGCTAATATTTTATTTTTATTTTATGTGTATTGTATATTGCCTGCATGTATGTAAGTGCAACTGTGTCATGCAATGCCCATAGTCAGAAAATGGCTGGAACTAGAGTTACAGATGGTTGTTAGCCACCATGTGGGTGCTGGGATTCGAACCCAGGTCCTCTGCAAGAGCAGCCATTGCTCTTAACTGCTGAGTCATCTTTTGAGCCCTGTGAGTTTTTGTTCTTAACATGTGAGGAAACTATCAGAGACAACTGCAGCTTTTCATCTGGTTTGGGGCCTGTTAGAGAACACCTGGGCTCAGGTGGACCAGGAGAAGATACCAGGGATTACATGAGCCCCCAGAGGAACTGCAGGATTAAAGAGGGGGCTTCTGTATAAGAAAACGGTAGAAAATCAGGAGAAATGTTCTGCCCAACCTTTTTCTTCTAACACTAGTTGACCTTGTAGAAATATTTTCTTCACCAGAAGATATGCTTAGTGTGTTGCATCTTGGGACTGAGGACTGATTTACAGGAAAAGGAAATGATGAGTTTGAGCATTAACTGAACATCCTGTTGTATAGCAATTTCCTCCACATAAAACCTTCCATCTAGGAGGAAAGCTCCTTAAGACTCAAGATGTTCTAAAGGAAGGAGAAACATTCCATCCTGCAGGGAAGCTTGTTGAATTTAGAAAGTAAACAACTCAATAGCTTCAGAAACTGACCAGATTCACTAGGCCCCCAAGCATATTTAAACCCTATAGACTCCCAGACCAGACCAGCTGCTGCCTAGAGCACTCTCAGACAACTGAACTCCTTGAGTTGAGGCAGAGATAAACCAAGCTTCTTGGAAGAGACAGAACAGCTGAGCTGCCTGAGAGAGACCCTCAGTTGCCTGCAAGTTGTGCAGTGTGCTCCAGGTTTCCAGCTTTTGTGAGCCGTCACTCATGGTAGGGTAGGCTTTTAGTGATACGACTGTCTTAGTCATTTCTGTTAGGTAAACGCTCACCAATACTTCAGTAAGCAACCCTAATAAAACTGAGTTCATCAAGTTGGACTTTGATGATATTTCTCATTTTTTGTAAGTAACCCTTCACCCATACTCCTGTAAGTAACCCCAATAAAACTCAACGGTTCACCAAGTTTGACTTTGGTCTGTCTTGGGTTCCCTATCTGGGATGAGTAGACATTTGTTCATGTCTCCCCAGGAATAGTGCCACACAAGAGTCCCAGTGAGCTTGTTTTGTGCTTTTAAAAGATCTTAAGATATACTATTATTCCTGAAATAATGGAAATTATTTACATATAGTGTTATTTAAAATTGTATAATGACTAGTCTCTCTGAACGTCTAAGAAAAGCAAATACAGAACAAATACAAGTTGCCCACACTTCCTACTGGGGATGATCCCTTTCCTGTGAGTGGCCAGTGCTGAGAGTCACATTTCATCTAAGTCATAATGAGAAATGAAATAACATATCATGGATATAATACACAAGATTGTGCTACAACTTGCTATTTTCCTATAATTTATTTGTTAGACTATTAAGAACAATAGCTCGTCCGTTCCCTCTACTGTGCGAATGTTGCGTAATGTGAAAACAACTCCATTCTTCTGTTGGTAGGGAAAAAGAAAAGCTGTAGATTTTGAGATTCGATTTTTAATTACCTCTTCTTTTATCTCTATTATTTATTTTAATTAATTTACTTATTTTGGTTTCATGAGACTGTCGATGCAAAAGCATAACTCACCTCAAAGGGGTAAGAGATCGTTTATTCTGGAGTCAAATACTAGTGACCATGGCCCAGGAACAGAGATTCAGGTTACCTCCAGTTCCATGTTCCAGTGTGGAAGCAGTTTTATGGCGTTTTTTATAGTAGCAGAACAAAGAAAAGTCATAAATCAAGACACTTTTCAAATATATTCGTGGATACATTCAGTAGACAGGTCACATAGCAAAGGGGAGGGGGTGTTCTACTATAGATATCAGATTCTATGTGATGACATTTTTAGCTTTTTGATTGGAAGGACCTGGTGATCTGCTAAGTTAATACAGTCCAAAAGGTTTTTATCTGTTAAGTCACAAGATGTTAGGTGAGAAACAGAGATGGAAAAAGAAATGGCTATTTAGCTATTTAAGGGCTAAAGGTAGCCTGAAATAAGTGGTAATTAGGCTCTGGGCCTGCAACATTCCAGACTCTCCACAGTCTCTGGAGCCCTCATCAGTTGATCAGCCTTGCAGGAAATTCAGTCCAAGATGCAGGATTTTCTGGGAACATTTTGTTCACAAGACAGTTCTCCCTATGTAGCTCAGGCTGGCTTTAAACTTGTAATCCTCCTGTCTCAGCCTCCTGAGTGTCAAACTCTGTGTGTGCCACTACACTTGGCTTGAATTAAGTTTAAAACATAGAAGAATCCACAGTTTTTTTAAAAAATGGGCTGGAGAGATGGGTCAGTGGTTAAGAACACTGGCTGCTCTTGCAGAGGACCCAGATTTGGTTCCCAGCACCCACATGATGGCTAACACAGTCTGCAACTCCAGTTCCAGGGGATCTGATGTCCTCTTCCCACCTCCTTGGGTAGTGCATGGCATGGGTGCACTTACATACAAGTAGGTAAAACACTCATACACAAAATAAAAATAAATAAATCAAAAAATTATAAAAGTAAATAAATATATTTTTTTAAAAAATAAAGGTTTTGTTTTCCTGTTTCTTTACTCAAGGTCCATCAGACTAGGCATTATGTCTGTCTGCTTTTTGTAGCCTCAAACATAAATCAGTGTTGGGCACAGAATTAAGTGCTTGATATGCTCATTGTATATTATTGGCTCTACTAGGTAGTAGTTATTGTTCTTGATGGGTAGCACTGGTAGAATCTGGTCCCAGGATATACGATCCAGGCTATAATTCATTACTAAATATACTATGTCAGGCTGGCAAGTCTTAAAAAATGACTGGACACCATATGGTGAAAGCAATAGGCACCAATCAGCCTTAAGAATTCGTGGATTCAAATATATGGATTGGGTATGCATGGTTTTCTTACTCAAGTCCCTAAACTTAGGGCGAAGGTGACATTCTCCTATGTAGCTCAGGCTGGCTTTAAACTTGTGATTCTCCTGTCAGATTTCTAAACTACACAGCATGGCTTTGCATGATCTCAGAATCCCAATTTTTAGAAATGAGAGTCTGAAAAGGACCTTTTAGATATGGCTACAGCATTCTTTCAAAATACTGAGTATAAAAGTAGTTGGGTACCTATGACAGCATCCTAGGGCTAAGGCAGGATTGTTGCATTAGACAAATGCAGATATGAATATAGTTAATTCGTACTTTTTCTTAAAAACTTATTCTTCCAATTGCAGTGTTAAGAGTTAATATTTTGAGTGCTGGAAAGGTGTCT